TTAACTTTTCAAACAAACTTGTGTAGGACTCCCCAATTGGCGTGAAACTATTTCTTTGCCTTTGTTCTCTTCCCTGCCCCTGTTTTCTAGGGTTGTTGGGTGCTCGAGAATGCTGCGAAGGCAAGAGTGCATTATGCGGTGCTGGCGCTCGCCATAGAGAGTGACCTGGTGGTTGGACATATGACCGGACATTGTTCGGAGGATAATACTGAGGTGGATTGTGTGGAGCTCGGGGATAGGTTTGGGGTTGGAGTTGAGGCTGGGTATATTGGTGAGGCGGACCCTTTGATCCATGTCGTGACTCTGAAACAACCATGGAAACATCATCGTGTTCCTTCTGACCCAGCAAGCTTCCTGTGTCGTTCTGAATTGCTTGTGTTGTGACTTTTAAAGCAGAATAACTCATGATCTTGCTAGACTTCAGCCCCTCTTCTACTAGCTCCCCCATTCTTAACGCCTCATCGTGAGCAACCTCGGAGGGATAATATTGGGCGTTATGAGCTTTGGGCGGGTGTTCATTGTTCAGAACTGTGGATGTGACCGGAGGGCACTTTTGGGAAAAGATAGTTGGACGACGAGTGATGGAGCTACTAGGGTGGCTGGGAAAGCTGTGATAAGCGGGTAAGTATGGAGAGGGTGGAGGATCGCCTGGCGTTGTGTCCGGAGTTTGGGTAAGGACAGCGTCTAGGAGGCTGGGTGGTGGCGGGGGTGGTGCCTTCCCAGTCATCCATGCCCGATACATGTCTGCCACATGTTGTCTCAACATCTTTACCTCTTCTACCAACCCGTTGTCCTGTTCAACCAGTTGCTTTCGGGCACCGGTATCAACCCACTCAGTTCTGTTGTTCTTTGCCATTGCCTTTTGCCTTTGTGTAGTAGGGAAGAGTTACTTTAAAAACCACAAACCAACCACCTGTCTGGAATGATATGACAAAATGAAACCATCACGTTAGCGTTAGGGCATTTATCATATTGGTACCCACACATTTGGGGAATGAATGCACCTAAGCAGTTAACAGTTCCTATTATGCTTTTGATCGGTCGCTTGCGTCATCCCGGCCTTTCTTTTTTCTTTATTTGCCATGCCTTTTCTCTCATTCTTCCCCCTTGTTTATCCATTGTTTGTTTCTTGCCTTTCCCTCTTTTCTTTTGCTTTTCTCTCTTATTTTTTCCCCCTTTTTTTGTTTCCTTTTTCCTTCTTTCCCTCTTGCATCGGTTTTTTCTTGTTCCTATTCTCTCATTTCCTCAAAATTGTTTTTCCGCTCTTTTCTTTCCTTTTCTCTTGCTCCCTTTTTATTTTCTCTTGTTTGCCTTTGTTTCTTTCGTTTGGTTTCTTATTTTTTCCTCTGTTTTTCTTTTTCCCTCTTTTGTTTTTCTTTCCTTTCTTATTTTTCACCTCTTTCCTTTCATTCTTTTTCTTGTTTTTCCTTTTTTTTCATTTAGTTACGGTCAAATCCTATGGAGATTGCCTACGTATCACGACCCCGCGTGAATCAGACCAAGCGTAGTTCTTGCAAACAAATGCGAAAATAAGGAAACAATTTTTGAGGAATTTTTCTCAATTTTTCATTAATAACAACAACGATTACAAAAGCTACCAGACTATTTGTTTTTCTTTTTTCTCAAAAAGGGGAGTTTCAAAAACAGACTCAAAAACAAAAATACAGACTCGATTAACTAGGAATACATCAAAGCTTCAAACCCTGGGACCCGCGGGGCATCACTCGGCATCGCTACGGGCCTGCGCAAGACTGAGAAGGTTTCAATGTAACTGGGTCATCCTGGACAAGGAGTTCTAAGGAAAAGTGTGACTATTTAAAGAAAGTTGACTTATTGTGACTTAAAAGAAAAGTGGCTATTTTTCAAAAATTTTATTTAAGAAAGCAAAGACTTGGTTTTGCAAATACGACCTCTCAGCACTTCCGGGAGGGAGATTTTAAGGTTGTGCCCGCAAACCATTTAAAAATGACTCAGGGTGGCTGTTCTTGCAAAAACAGCCTTCCGGCGCCTTTTTTGGG